GAATATGTGTCTTCGTGAGTTTACACCTAGATCAGCTGTTCTCAACCTAGAGGTCGCGACCCTTTTGTGGGTTGAACGACCCCTTCACGGGGGTCGCCAAAGATTGCATTATTTCCCTGTTGAAAAAATGCAATCTTTTATGGCACCATTGGTTCATTCAATGTGGAATCCTCATCCTCTTCCATCCCTGACAGCTTCATTTGCTGAGCCATCCGTAAACACTTTGATCATGCAACCATATGTACAAGAAATTAACACTGGGAATTTCGAACACTCCCATGTGGACAGACACCAAAGAAAACTGAACATGTGCTACAATCATGAGCTATATGTGCATTAGAGAGATCCAAGGTCTGGTCAGCAGAACTTTCTCCATGTGGGCAGGCAAATGATACTGAATATGTGCTAAAAACATACGCTCTACATGCAGTAGAGAGATCCCACGTTTGGCCAGCTGGCATTTCAACAGAAATAAAGCTGCATGGACTAGTGGAATGCATGTGTCGCACAACAGACTTCATAAAAGACTGGACTTCTCATCTGAAAACCACTAGAAGGGAGAACGAAAAAAGAAGAAACCTGGCAGTAGCAGGGTTCTTCATTCCTTGCAAGTACGGTTCTGGGGATCGATCAGCTTTCATAAATGGGCAATGAACAATTGTGATCGGCTGTGCGAGGAAAAACAATGACGAGGGAGGGAAATGATAGACCAATCTCATTACATAGTGTCTTAGTAAATGTGATTCACTTAAAACTGCAGTCTGTCGACAATGCTTGGAATGGGACTGTCACTCGTTCATGGATGGATGAAGGATGGGTGGGGTATGGGGATATGACGGAAGAGTTAAAATATGGACGAACGTGTGTGTTTGCGTGTAAGTGTGTGCAAGTATGTGTACTTACAAATGACATGTTAACGCCCCAAATTCTTGCATATCTATAATTTGAGAGAAATATCTAAGGCTGGAAAAAATGCATGTTAATCTATGTTAAAACAAGATAAACTATACAACAGACTCCGGCAGAACAGTTATGGAGAATACTGCTTGTTTTATTGCAACAAATATCAAAGAAAATGTGTCGAATGTTCATGGAATTACCGCTTTCAAATTTCAACGCATCGTTTACCAGCTGACACGGTGTAATCGGATCATTAAATTTATCAATGTTACAGCGATTCTTGTTTCGTCTGCAAAGTTTATTGCGCGTGATTGTCGGCAGCTTGACATAACTTCTCTAGTTCAAATATAGAAGATGGTGATCGTGTGATATATGTGGCATGCTGAGGTATTATGGGTTATTAGATGTTATGTTTTTAAACAATGCTGTATGTCTTTTCGTTTGAAATATTTCTGACCGACATGGGGAAGTATCAAGAAATATTTGCATACACAAATGGGAAAGTATTTACAAACACATGCGTTACATATACACATACACAAAGCATTTGCAGGTGGAAACTGGAAAAAATAAATCACACTGCCAGATCGGAATGATAAAATAAAACATACATTTACAGACCCATACGAAAATGTATCAGAGAGCTTTGGCAGACTAAAATGTAAGAACAGTTTGCAGATGATCGAAAAAGGAAAGTATAAGAACAATTGTGGATATCGAAATAGATAAAAAAAAAAAAAAAAACAATATTAGTGGAGCTTTCACCAGACCTACATTTAGGGTATTTGATGGAGACAAAGATGAGGTAGCGGACGGGTAAATGAAACTTTCAAGGGGTGGTAAATTAAGCGTATAGTTTTGGTTAGGGTTTGGGTTAGATAAATGCGCGAAAATCTTGGCCTTGGGGGGAAAACCCGCGCTTAAGTACAGAAACCCAGAAAACCCTCTCTTACCACCCTCTAAAATATTGGACTGTCCCGTGACGTCATGTGTGGTCGGCTAAAAAGAAAACAATCATGTACGTTAAGCAATACTTACATGATGCTGAAAAGAAATCATATCAAAGGGGCAATGTTTTCCTAGCTCAATAGCATTTGTAGTGTGTACTGTCATGTACAGTAGTTACACAGTTTACATCTTTATCAGTTGTCTTTTCGATGGCAACTAAAAACATGCAAATACTGTCAATAATTATCTCCAATTCCCCTTCCCTGAATACCGTCTGCTTCAATTACTTATGAGATACGTTGACAACATTGTATAACTGCAGCTGAAAGTTCTAACACGACAGACACACCACGTCACAAAAGAACAACATAAAACTCAATGAATGGAGAATCCGATATCTTCCATAAAACACACCGGCGGGTAGAAATTATTGGAAAAGAGAAGCAGAGGGGAAAAAATCGTGCAGACGCGTAGGATTTTCGAGCTGATAACTAGCTCGGAAACTAGCCTCATCGACCAAAGGTAATGCTACCGCTTCCGGGGTAAACCGGGGCAGTCTCTTCCCTAGGATGCCCGGTCTGTAGGTGTTGAGTACTACTTGTCTGGGAGGAGTTATATTTTTATCGCTACTTTGTTAAATGTCAAGATCAGACTGAAGCCTGTGGACACGGCAGGGGTATATACACAAAATAGAGGGTCTCGGTTTAGAAAAAAAGTTGTCTTGTCGATACACCCTTCTTCTTCTTCTTCGTCATCTTTTTCTTCTTCTTCGTCGTCTTCTTTACGTCCTATTCTACCGCTTCGGATGTCCAAAAAGATATAAGGTCCTGCTTCATGCCTTCTGGCTGCTTCGACAATAGACACATCGAGGTGTTTTAGTTTCTCTGATGCTGTCTTCCCATCTTGTTCTTGGTCTAGCTCTTGCTCTATACTCTTCTCCACTTTTGGTACATGCCTTGTATGGTAAAGCATAAGAAGGCATTCTTTCCAAGTGGGCAAACTATTTGATTTGCTGTCTTTGTGATTAAGAACTGGTTCTTTGCCGACTTGATCTCATACAACCTTTATCTCTTCAGGTCATTCCTACAGTCTTTCTCAGACATTTCATTCCCATGGTTACTAATTTTCTTTTATGTTTTGTTGTAAGTGACCACGTCTGGCACTGATTACATCTTTCTTACTATAATAATATACATAGGTTTTCATGTAACAGGCACAGACTGAATTCCCGCCTCTTTATGACTGCAACAAGTGTTGAGCTGTATTTCTAAAACGAAAGTTGGGCAAGGACTGAGGTGGATTGGGGCGGGAGTGGAGAGAGACGCCACCCCTTAAAAAGGATGTGGTAAAACGTGAATAATTCGGGTTTCGATCAAATCGGATTGGTATGGCAGAAAGGCGCATATATCGCAGCCTAGCTGTAGACCACAACACAACGTGCCAACCATCCTTTTAAAGCCTAAGGCAGCAGAAAAAGTTTGCGACAAGTACAAGGTATTTATGTCAACTTTTACTGTCTGTGTTTACCACTTCTAGGTCGGTGTAGACGGGGTTGACAAGTACAAGGTATTTATGTCAACTTTTACTGTCTGTGTTTACCAGTTCTAGGTCGGTGTAGACGGGGTTGACAAGTACAAGGTATTTATGTCAACTTTTACTGTCTGTGTTTACCACTTCTAGGTCGGTGTAGACGGGGTTGACAAGTACAAGGTATTTTATGTCAACTTTTTACTGTCTGTGTTTACCACTTCTAGGTCGGTGTAGACGGGGTTGACAAGTACAAGGTATTTATGTCAACTTTTACTGTCTGTGTTTACCACTTCTAGGTCGGTGTAGACGGGGTTGACAAGTACAAGGTATTTATGTCAACTTTTACTGTCTGTGTTTACCACTTCTAGGTCGGTGTAGACGGGGTTGGGGTGGGGGTTGGGGTGGGGGGTCGTGAGCCTGAGGATTTAGGGCCGCATGGCTAGGACTGTTGCCATGGTCTGTACAGGTTAGGATGTTTAATTCTGCCCCCGACGAAAAAAATGTCATTAATGGGGGAGGGGGAAAAGATGGGAGGGGGAATATTGTTAATTATCCGAACCACTGTTAACTGAACTACAACATGTTTACGGATGCTCTGATAAGGATGGATCTAAGGTGGTCTCATCAAATCTTTCACTACCAGCAACTATCTCACCCATCCTTTGCTGATTAATCTATGCATAGTTTTCACCGGCTAACTTCTCTGACCCCCCCCCCCCCCTTTTTCCCCTTTTTTTCTGTTACGTTCATCTGCTGCTCTATCACGCTGTCTCCTCTAACAAATCATGTTTCGATTTCCTATAATTGTAATTCATAAGGGTACAGAATGGTACAGATGTATTACTCCAAAGTGTACAAACTCTGAAAGAGTCCATTCTCACGCCTTCAGGCGTATTGTGCATATAGGAATAGATCTATTTTTGTATGGACCAATCAGCATCTGATAGGTGATGTGGTCAGTATCAGGCCGGCCGCTTTTACTTTCAAATACTTTAACCTGGTACCCATTCAAGGATGGGTCGACCTGGAAGATAAGGTCATTTAAAAAAAAAAAAGTCGGATTTGTACCCACGACCTAAGATGGGAAATACTGAAGCAACTCTCTGGTATTGAAAAGATAATGATGGACGCATGCGCGGTTCCAACGTGTTGAAAGACAGCTTACTATTGGGCCAATAATTTTGATTCTGGATCAGTCATTACCAATATGTAAACAAAGGCAGAGGGACAGACATCGCGTTTGACAAAAAATGACAGCAGAAAGTTCCCCTAAAAATAATGTGACTAACTAGATATTCTTGACTGACTTTTTACCCCACTAGGACATCACACTGAGCGATAAACACCCGGTGACACAAAGTGCCACCATGCAGATACGAATCACCCGTGGAGAGGTCACAGAAACTGCGTTCAACCGTTACGTTATATTGCGGCCCGTGGCAACAGCCAGGGCGAGGCTTCAAAATAACGAAAAATTGCATCCCACAAGAACATAATTCTTAACTCCAAATATGTTTATATACACTTAATGAAACCTGTCTGTAACAGTAAATATTCAGCTACTGTCACATATTTCTCATGTTATTATTGTTATAATTCATATTACCAACTGCAAAACTTACCCGGCATCCTTGCTCCTGTCCCCTTGTGGTTCAGGGGTCGAAGACTTACCCCAAGGTGGGGTCAGTGGGGCACCACAGCTGTTAGTGGGACTTGCCTGATTTCTGAATTCACGCCAGCTGTTAATACGCCGAATCATAACGGTGACGAGTCATAACAAAACAGCCACAACAAAATACTGTATCACAGCGAATCTCCTCTTTGGTGCACTTTATTAGACACAATGTCTTCTTGGGTGGAAAGTTGAATATTCGTTTATCATCTTAGAAATGTTAAGTGCTTTCAAGTAGCGTGCATACTTCACAGGCTTGAGTCCCACCGAAAAATAATTTGAAGAACATTGCCGTCGACTCAACGAAAGTTATCAACAAGTGAATCTCTAGTTTGAAAGTTTACTTTTACTAAAGAAATGTATCCTTAAAATATTCGTTGGATATGTTATGAAATCGGAAAACTAGAACACTTCGTGATTAACATCAAAGTTGAAAGAGAAGAGGGGAAGAGTTCAGGGGAGACCACAAAAGAATATGTTAGGGGCTCTAGTATCATAGAGTAAAAAAAAAACATTTGTGTCATACATAACTGGCAGTGTACAAGACAGAAGGCTGAGGATAATCGTGACAACCCACGCTACATGACATGGATTATAACATGACTATGTGAACTTTAGTCGGCTCTGTGGCTAAGTCGATGCGAACGCTTCGTAATACCGGGTTCGTTCCCAGCTGTGGGCCATACGCTTCGGGTTGGTTTCTACTGTGGTATCAAGAAAGCCGACGGTCCAGTAAGCAATGGCAAACTACTGGACGTAAATTTGTATAGAAAAACCACGCAACAGTCAGGGGCTGTTAGGGTTGGCTCTGCAACGTCCTGTAAAGGATAGGCAACAAACCGATGTGAACTTTAACAAGTAAAAAATCATTTTCCCCGCCACATAGTGTTAGACATATGCTTTTATATATAATCGGCATTCGGTGGATGATGTAGCAACATTACACCGGTCGCCTTTACTTCTCAGGACATTACCTGGTACTCGTTTTAGACTGGGTCGACCTGGGAGCCCAGATCACTTTTGGAGAAAAAAAGATTCTGCTCGATGTGGATTTGAACCTTCGGGACCTAGGAGACCGTCTACACCACGCTTGTTTCCTATATATAAACTATAAATGTATAATAGCTAACTGAGAATACTGTTCCTGACCGAACGGAATCCTTCACACCCAGATTAACATACCTAAGACTCACCCAACTTCCAAAACGACAGCAATATACAATTATACGCCGAATACGAAATGGACGCAGCAGACTCTGCAGCCATATATACAAAAAATTAAAGCCTGAAGACTTAGGTCTTTGCCCAGGTGAACAGACAATATAGAAAGAAACAGAACATTTGCTGCAGACATACTCTCTACTTGCAGCAGGGAGATCCCACGTCTGCCCAGCTGTATGGATTAGTGGAGGTCATGCACCGCTGCACGGACTTCACAGAAGTCAGTGGTCTTGTTAATCGAAAACCACTGGCAGGAAAAAGGAAAAAGATCTTTAAATGGAGCAATTACCAACTCTAAATGAAGCTATTAATCAACTCACGCCCTATTGTGTGGGCTTGTTTGTGAATGTTGAGGTTGAGTTACCGTTAACTGTGGGATGTGCCAGTCCATTTTCCGTTAGTCTCCTTTTACGACACGTCGCATCGCAGATTACAAGGAAAATATTTGCCTTTTTACAGGCCTCGGGAACAATGGATGATACTGGGTGATTTGCCTTTTTTTTTTTTAAATCACAAATCAAGACAGGGAAGGGAGCCTCAGTAACGTAGTAGCTAGTAGCTTACCTCCCAGCCCAAGGTGTAGGTTTGAATATGTATCGAGTCGTAGCTTTTTTTTTTTTTTTCTTCTTCAAAACTGACCTTGGCTTCCTGGTCGACACAGCCTAAAACTGGTACTAGGTCAAGTAGTTGGAAGTAAAGGCGTCCGGTGTAATGTTGATCACATCAACCGTCGAGTGCGGACTGGGAAGCACAAATATGAAGGGTCAACAAAATTATGAGTCTAGCATCATTTGCCTGATAGATCAATGGCGTGAAAAGGTTCGTCTGCTCACTTCACTTAAATTGTGAATGCGTGAGATAAAAACGAGACAAGTAAGGGTTCTGCACCCGCCACTGGCAGATCCCAACGTGGCTGCAAACAGTTAAGTGACGTTGTGTACTGTGTCGGTACATATGGTTTTGTCGATTTATGTAGTGTGCTGATGAAGGCTCTTTAACCGCAACGTTCACTTTCGGTTTGTGTCTGTTATACTGTGTAGCTCGCTGGTCTACTTTTCGTTCGGTTGTTTAAAATCTTGTCATGATATTCTAAGTCCTGCAGAAGTAAAGAGAGATAGCTCTTCATTAACTGCTGCTGGATGAAAATGTAAGCACTAACATTTGACTAGTTCTGCCCACATCGATCGATACGTGACATTCGGTATGAAAGCTAGTAAAATTATGTGAAAGAACAAAATGTGAGAACAAAGAACAACTGCATTTCGTAACAGTGACAACATTACATAACACAAAATATCCCAACAATCCCAATGTAAGTGGGTTAATGATTTGTATGGCGAATAGAGACGATATCGTTTAGATGAACAACATGAACATTTGCTGTTCTTAATGTCGAAATGTCATGTGGTGCCAAAATGATCAATAAATATTTTCTAAAAGCGGCCACGGATTAAGGAAGCAGACTTTGGCAATGTCAGGAGACGACAGAAACAATTGATTAGGTTTATGGCGGGAAACGGGATAAAAGAGCGGAAGAGGATGGAAAATATACCTGGCCGACGAGTCGGGCGTTCAAAGCTGTTTACATGAGGATCAATAGATAGTTACCAACTGAGAAAAAACGTTGAGAAGATACATGACTTCCTATACTAAGATATCTTTAATTCAAAGAATCTTGTGCAAGGGGAAGGGAGGAAGGGAGGAAGGGACTGAAAGAGTGGGAAATCAATGTGTGTGTGTGTATGTGTGTGTATATATTTATGTATATTAGTATCCAGAAGCCATGAGCTGTGAACCCTTTGGCTCGGTATTATGGATATCGCAACCCTTCGGCCTAGATTCCATGACAGATACTGTAAATCTGGGAGAAATGTGGCTTTTCTGCCTACCCCCGGGCGAGAACCCGAACCACAAGTAGTTCGTTACCCAGTCGCCGCGAAGTCAGCTTTAACCAACTACGCTATCAAGTCAGAAGAAGGGAGAGACAGAGAGAGGGGAGAGGGAGGGGGGGGGGAGAGACGCACGGTGTAGTGTTTACATCATGGAAAAAGGTATTAAACCAAACGAAAAACAAAATGAGTCAGCTACCTGAAACTACAATCACGAACGACAAAATAAACGGTGCGACTAAAACTCCTTCACCAGCGTACGACACAAAGGATACAAGTGATTGATGTGCCTACCAGCCGAAACAGTGGTCCGAGTTTAATCTTCGGAATTGGCAGGAATTTTTCTTCATAAAAATGAGCATCACATCATTACCATAATTTTGAGGGAATGTCTGGGGAGGAAAGGCGATACGGAAGGGAATTTACCAATTATTTCTACGTCCTTGCCTAGAACCCGTGAAGACCTAACGCTTCACATCCCAACGGCTGTATCTGCTAGGGGACGGTCTATCACCGACTGTAAGCTCCGACAGATAATCCCCATAGTTCGTCCACTTTGGCTTTGTTGTGACAGAACCTGAGTTTTACGTGTGCTGCCGATTTACTGACTTTGTGTGCAGTTAGTTGTTCCTTGCCGCTTCTGCAGATGCACTCCAGCTAAGAATGAAGCCCTTGATTAATCTACCATTGCGACATGCTTGTTGGGGAAACAGTGGGCCTGTTCTTGTTTTTCCCACAATGGGGCCCGGAAACCATACAGGGATACCTCTAAGTTAAAGTCGAGAGGACTGACTTCACTGCACTGGGTTTTTATCCCGTATCGCTCGGAATGCAAAGCCTGCCGAGAGCGTCGTACAAAGCACAAACGTCGTAGCTCCAGCGACAATTCCAAAGGGCTCCGTAAAAACTACTAATGAGCCGGACGACATATACGTGAAACGAACCCACCGCCTTTTTTTAAAAACCAGAACCAATCAGCGAAGCTTATTTGGCTCTGTGTCTTGAGCATCGAAGCCCCTTAGCCTCGGTGCCATGCACACCGTTAATCTGGGGGAGTAGGCGACTGTTCTGCCATTCCCCCGGCTTGAACCCGAGACCGGACACGCGTGGGGATTGTCACCTGACGTCCGACGCCATATTAACTACGCTGGCTCGCCGGGCCAAAGCACGAGATAAACGGCTTGACCACTCCCCCCCACCCCTCCCTCCCCCCCCACACACACAAACACACGCGCGTATATACACACCTGTCATCTGGGTTTTTTTTTTTCAACACGGGTGTGTGTAAACACACACTTGTGAGTTTCAAAATTAGCCAGGAATTTCTACGTCGTCTAAAAACCAGTAATGATGCTATTAGTTATGCTACATTTCCTTGCAAATAGTTTCCTCCTACAACTAGATACTTTTCACGCTAACATTCAGGCATCTAGAACACTCTTAGAGCGCGTTCTCTGAAACTTGGCAGTTGCACTGTCACATTTGCTGGCAATATTATCGGCTTGTTTGAATCGCTGCCTTTGAGCGTCCGTCTGGGACGAGTGAACTTGGCAATTTTGTCGGAATTATTTCTTTAGCCAACTATATGATACCAGTTTCAAACTGGGACCCTTATTAAAAACAAAGGAACGCACACTCATGTGGCACCCGAGAACGCATACGAGGAGTTTCATATAGTACTTTAGAATAACTCGGTATTTTCAGCTTCCGTTGTGAAATAGTTAAGTAAATTAGTCAGTAAACGACCTTTTTGACACAACTGAAAAATTAATTAATGTGGTGCTAGAAATATTTGTATAGACCAATAGGCCCTACTTGGCTAATGTCGTCACCTTTACATTACATTTAGTCACCTTTACCTTCCATGACATTTTCCTAGAACTCAGTAAACGCTGAGACCACCGAAGGAGCCTCAAATCAATTTTATTTCTTTTTAAATCTGCCTGAATGCCTTTTAAAACTCAGCACCCTGTGTCT